AATTGAAAATTATGAAATTTTGATGTAAATGATTAAAAACAGAAAACTGCATTTTAAAATCTTTTTATGAATACCTGCGATATGATGCAGAGAATGGTCGGGAACGAGTATAAACTGGGCGCATGATGTAAAACTTGAACTATTTAGATTGGGTCTGGGAGAATTTTGGATAAAACAGCAAGCAATAAAATTTGCTCATTTTATGCACGTGTATAAAAATAGAATCCTAGATATATACCTCCAAGAATGCACTGCATTTATGGATAATTCGTCAAAATGCTTTCTATATAAATATATTGTCCAATCTGACTTCTGTAAAATGCAATCCTATTTAACAAAACCTTTTCAGAGTAATTTAAAAAAAAAAACATATTTCCCGCATTAGACTTTCGTCTCACTATCTTAACATAGAATACGGAAGGTACCAAGGCAAAAGTAGAGAGAATAGATTATGCGATGTTTGTAATACACGTGAAATAGAAGACGAATTCCATTTCATTCTTCAATGCCCTAGATATCTAAATTTAAGAAAAAAATATATAAATGAATATTATTACAAATCGCCAAGTACTTTTAAATTAATCCAATTGTTGGGTACCAACCGCATATCTACCTTGGTTGGTATAGGGAAATATATTCATTATGCTCTAATATTACGTAACGAAGATCAATCAGGTTAACCTAATTTCTATCTGTGTAAGGTTTATATTTTCAGATGTCTGTACATTAAAACATCATTGCTATATATTGTATTATAACTTTGAATTATGTATTGTACTGCTTATTGTATTGTACTTAATTTGTGCAATATATTATTGTATACTATAAATGAGTGGAACTGTGGGACTGAGGAACACTTGACCAGGGGTTTCACCCCCCCCCCAATTTAGGCTCACTGAGAGTCTTAAATTTTGCAATGTATGTTATTATATGTTATTTTTGTAAACTGATGGGCTGTATTGCCCAAAGTTATATCCTGAATAAACTTACAATATTCCAATTCTTTTTCGTGCTTTTTATCATAAATTGAAATTTTGCACAATCTAAATGGAAACAATATCTTGAATATAAATAATGAAATAAGTAGTCAATATACTGTTAAAAGTAAAAATGCAATACTTTAATAATTTATAAAAGTATAAGAATATGTTATGTACGGTACAAATTGTAAGGTTATTTCTTCCACATAAAAAAAAAATGAAATGTCGTGATGACAGTTCTTCTTGTTTTTGTACTTGAACATAAGATGTTCTTTCCACTCGAACTCGCCACAAAACTCAAGTGAAAAAAATCTAGAACAATTAATCCTATCTTAGTAAATAAGTTTATAAACATACTTGAAGAAATTCTTGTCAAAATTACATTTTACATTCAAATTTAACAAAGCCACTTCCTTTTATTGTAAAATTTTTATTTTCAAATTTCTTTAGATAAACACCTTTCATCAATATTCTACGACAAACAGAAGCAGTAAGAATTTAAAACAAGATCAGACTTGCCATTCTTGCAATAACTATCTTCTCTGCAAACTATTTATAGTAAAAAGGTATATAAAACCATTGTCGAAAATAGATATATCGCAAGTTATATATATCATATATATATATATACGACTCTGTTTACCTGATCAATAGTCGCCCGCGTGGCGCAGTGGTTAGAGCGTTCTGCTCTAGAGTCGCGAGGTAAGGAGTTGATCCTTACGTCGCGGGTTCAAATCCAACTGTGGGACGTGGAGACCGATCCTTCGGATGAGACCATAGTCCCTTGTCGCAGTAGGTGTTGGCACGAAAAAGACCCCTCACTGCTCAATGGCCGTAAGTGCCGAGCATAGGACAAAATTTGCAGCTCTCCACCGCCAAGTGGTGGCGTCTCCATATGAGTGAAAAATTCTTGAGAGGGACGTTAAACAACATACAAACAAACAAACAAAACCTGATCAATACAGAGGTCTCACGTGGATGTGTCTTGTCTACAGAGGATGCTTACTACTCCTAGGCACCTGATCCCATTTTTGGTGTTTCCAGGGGTCCGTGATTTTGCCCTGTTCCCATTTCCTATTCTTAACTGGATATATGAGTTTGGTCGCTGTTCGTTATCTCCACTTTTTTCACAGAAGGTCTAAAATATTGTAAAGAATAATGTGCAAAAACTACTGTCTGCAGCCCTTTTTTCTATGACGAATTATATTTATTCTACAACGATTTTGATAGTTTTCAAACAAGAGTGAATATATACGACGCCCTTTGAATAGTTTCAATACTTCCCACACATTATAGTTATGAGGATTATTGCTTTATCTATGATTTTTTAGATCCCATGACAGCAAAATTCGGCCTGATTTTTGACAAATGTTCTTTTATGAATAGAGAATAGGCAGGTCATAGTACAATAGAGGGATATGCATGTCCGAGGAATCTACCTTATATGGCTATTGTTATTATTTCCCACATAGTCGCTTACATAGAACAATAGTCCAATCCAATGACTGAACGACAAAGCATGCTGGTTTACTACATGTTAACATTTTATCACAGATACGTGGTTTAGGTTAATTTACACATTATCTCTACTACATTTCAAACTTTTAATGGTCAGCAAAGGTTTTTTATGCATGATGATATGCATGGAACCTCAGCGTTTATCATTTTGGGCCAGAAATGCACATAAAATTAGTACTTGTGTTCACTGATACTCGGAAATACTTGTAGCCAATTGCCCACCAATTGCCTTACAAAATTATGGAATTATACATGCAACGTATGTTTATAAATCAATTCTTTGTAATTATGAGCAGGGAAATTGTTGATTCGTGTCTATTCTGTGACTAAATGCATAAAAATTGTCAATCGGAAAGAAAGTATTAAATTTCCCTAGTATTTTTGTGGTACTCACTCGTAATGCAACTCATTTAGCTGATTGGCCGGTTAGAAAGTCACGCCGGTGCCTGAATTAGCATATGAATTTATTCTAACGTCAGAAAAAATAGTTTCGTCGATCTGTTCATAATGGGAAAGGCCAGCTAGATTTTGCAATTTTTGAAATATAACATTTGAGCGCAGTTAGGTACAATTTTCTCTTTTTACATATATAGGTAGATTTCAATAAAATAAAGGGGCCAGCCAAAGGAGACAAATGTACCTACTTGCGCTCGTAGATTTTAAGGGTTTCAAAGAGTGGGGCGGGGCCAAAATTCAATGGGAATTGGATATAAACATGGTACCCCTACTCAAAATAAAGATATATATCTTCCAAAATATCTTTCGACTTTCAGTAAAAGTAGTATTCTATGAGGGTACACATATCAGTGATTAAGTGCATGCAAAAATTAGAGTAAAATTTAGATTTTTTTTTTTCAAGTTACCGGGGGCCGTATGGCACATCATCCTAATTCCAAGTGATGATAGAAGTGCATCGCTACTTTGCTCGTATGCCAACCTTAAAGCATATTATCTACACAAATTTTAATTCACATATTCTTTTCTGCTTTCCATGAGGTCGATCCATCTCATTAAATTCAATAATGATGAATTTAATCACAACACAAAAGAGAGTACTGGGTCATATTATGGATTCCTGGTTTTCTTTCTGTCTTTTTAATTAAACAAGACTTGAAATGAATCTCTGCAATGTTAAACTGAGAGGATAATAATAATAATATTATACATAGCTATTGTAAATCATTGCATATATATAATTTGTTACATGTTTATCCATTTCTACTTATTGTATCTGTATAGTTGTTTCAGATTAATCCTAATCAAGCAAGGCTATATCAAGTATTGTTTAGATAGTGTCACTTTACTTAAGGATTATTAATAAGCCAGAATTATATGATATATATATATATATAGAGAGAGAGAGAGAGAGAGAGAGAGAGAGAGAGAGAGAGAGAGAATAATACATATTCTTTTTCATATATCCTGTATCAAGCCGAGACACTAATATCAGCTAGAGGGCCGAAGGCGTGAGTGCCAATATTGGTCGAGGGTTGATACAGGATGTGATGGGGAAAAAGGTATGTTTTGTTATGTTTATTACATACTCAGTAAAAAAAAATACAGCACACATCAGCTTGAGAAATATACAAATAAATAATCATGCACTGACTACTGACATGTAGTTTATTATGTCAAAGAACAGTAATTCAAAATTAAGAGAATGTGAACAAAAAATTTGTATATTATCACAAGTACTGTTTTTAAGGTTTGATCTACTAGAGGTGTGATATAAATCCGTATTAGCCCTGCAGATCCATATCAGACCTGCAGGATCCGTATCAGCCCTAGAAGCTGAAACGGCCATTGTGACGTCAGGTATATCGCATATGCAAAAAAACCTGTATCTATTACTAAGTATGTAATAAATGTATGTATAGGCAGCTGATTTGGTGATTATGCTATATGTTGCTGTTTTTGTTTTGTACATATTACCTAAAAATTTTTGGATATCTTTTTTTTTTGAGGGGGGGGGGGGGTTAATTTATCAAGCTTAAGGTTTTTAATTTTAGTTGTGTAATAGGAGAGATCGCTTTGTCATATTCAGGGATTTTTATAGAAGAAACTTGTGCTGTCAATATTGTCTTGATATCCCCCTAGTTCGTTCTTGTTATTATATACAGATTTATAATTTAATATTTGTCTTGTTGTCATCTTACAAATGTTTTAAATACAACGTATATTGGCAGAGTTATTGTCTTGTTTGTAAGTATATATCAACAGTTTTGTAAGTCACAATTTTTTTTAATTACGCAATCCCTTTATTTTTATAATTCGAAAGAGAGATAAGTACCTGAAAGGAGGTGTACAGTTCTGTTCCTTGTGACAAACATTTCTGTTTCTTTTTTCAGTGCGATTCTGAAAGTTTACAAGTGCAAAAATACACTACATACTTCATAAATAAAGATTAATGTAAAAGGAAAAAAATATATGTGCTCATGACAGTATTACCTGAAACATCAAACAGAATCAAGTCCTATCTTTTTGGTTTTCGGGGATACGCAAAACAGTAATTGGGGACGTTTTAAACAATGGAAAAAAGATATTCTGGATATTTCATCGCTTTAATATTTATTGCAAGCAAGCTTCTTTATTGTCAAGCATTGTTTGAATCCCCAGTGAAGAAGAAAAATGTGCTTAATACAAGACTTAAGGAAGAAATTCTGAAACTTGCTAAAGAGTCCATGGCAGAGAGCATTTCAAAAGTAAGTAAAGAGTTCCAGAAAAACTTGGAAGATCTACGAATCGACATGATGCGGAGGGATGTGGAAATCTATGAAGAAATACATGATATAAAGGAAAATTTCATAGGAAAGGAGACTGCTATAGAAAATCAGACGGCAATCCAAGATGACGGAGAAAAAAGAATTTGGTCAATGAAATTGGAATACTTAGAGGCAAGACTGAATAAGACTTCCCAGGAAAGTAAGAACAATGCTGATACACTCCAAGAAAAATTTGAAATATTAGAAAGTGAAAATAGAAGGATATTGTCTCGAATAGCTACAACTGAAATTACTGTTATGAAAGTGGCATCGCAGTCGTCAGTTAACATGAATGATTCGGAAGGTTTTATTTTCACAACCTATTTGCAAAAAGTGGAACATGTAGAAGATAGACTAAACGAGATAAATGAAACTATCCAGGATGTTTGTAACTCAACCACAGATATACAGAAGGCCATGGAAACCTTTCAATCAAAAGTAATGACGCTCAACAGATCTGTTGACGCACTCAACGTATATGTTAATTCAACTTTAAATGATAACACCAAAGCTATACAAGATCTTGCAGACTTTAGCAATAATATCCAGCTTAATATGACCAAGGTTATAAAGGAAAGTGACCAACATTTTTCAAACGAGTTACTGAAATTGATGAGGGGCGTCTCTGAAGTAAAAAACCACAGCAAATCGAATTCAGAATCTCTTCAGGACCTCTCATCTGAGGAAAAACAGCTCGAGGTGCAAGTAAAACAACTTATTCGAGATAAACAAGATCTGAAGAATGAAATGACAGTCTTGAAAAACCATTTCAATATTACAGTATCTAATTTTGATGATATTGAACAGAAACAAAGAGAAATATCGGATGATTTAATGAATAGTGTATTGCAGATTTCTTCACTCTCTGAGGCTTGGAATATCACAAACGAAGATTTAGCGAGTCTGAAAAAATCTTTTTCTGAAAATTTGACTGATTTTAAAACGCAGGCACAATTATTTTGCGAGGAGAATTTAAATCAGACTGAACAGCTCAACAACATAACAGCCTCTGTAGACGATCTTCAACGCAAAATACATACAATAGGTAATATTTTGAACACGTTTGTTTTAACTCCTGTAATAACTGCGTTTTTTTTTTAACAAAGACTTCTGAAGTACATAAATTGAGAGAAATTGGCATTCACTTGGTAAAAAGGTTGTTTAACACAAATATTCTTAATCTTGATGCATAATATGAGTCCTTGGGAAAGCACCAGGAAAGATGTTTATTTTACAATTTTAAAACAATTTAATTGAAAATTTAAAGAAGATTAATATTAATCATTTTAAATTTGCCAATTTCTCATCAGAAAAACGAATAAATAATGATACATTGTAATTTATAGAATCATAAATACATCTTTAGGGAGAAAAAAGGGATATAAAATTTCTGAACAGATATATTTCGTTGATAGCGACTGACTTAATACATCTTGTATTTGAAAGAAATATTCTAAACAAAACTAGTATAACTATTAGTTAATTAGTTAATAATTAATGAATAATTGATATCCGACATAATTACTTCTGGTTCTTCTATACACCCTTAATCATCTGATTCTCAATCTCAGCTAAATCTATATGTATGTATCAGTTTCATTACAAATTAAAAGCTGCTAATCCGACTAATTTCCAGTGTCCAAAATCTTTTGCTGATTATGTCAAATTTCTGAAAATAAATGATTTGATCTTTTTTAATGATACAAGGAAATACAGAGGACTTGAGGCTGACGTTTCAGAAACTGCAAGATGTGATGCTATCTCTGAAAAACGTTACAGGTAGTTAATGGCGCCGAATTACCACAAAAGAAAAATGGTACAAAGAAATGAGCTCTTCAAGCTATAAATTACTATTTTTATTTGTTATAGATGACGTTTCAACAACAGAATTTTTTTTTTAAATAAACTTTATTTCCCAGACCTAATCTATAACAAAGAAAATATCCTTATATTTGAAAAGAAGGCAGGCATCGGGGATGGGGCCCCGACTAAGCTCCAATACAATAGCTATTGCATCTCGCAGGATGCATATACCAGTATAATCAAGATACAATGTATATTATAATTTATATTATGTAAATTTATACTTTAGATATTATATAATTCAATATACTGATTTTTGTACAGCTTGCAAATTAAATTGATAAGATGTATCATAATTATGCCACGCTGCCATAATGAGTCCATGTCGTCCTACAGTCCATATTTGACTCATATGGCAGCTCTATCAGAGGACTGGACCCTCTTAATAGTGGCTATTAATACAACAACTCTTATAGTTTATACATATTCATGTTTTAACATTGAAGTACAATAGAGAAAAAAGATATATTGAAAACGAAAAGTAATACATAACATACATAATAATGAGATTAAGTTAATATAGTTTTTTTTATGTTATGTACATATATATATATATATATATATATATATATATATATATATATATATATATATATATATATATATATATATATATATATATATATATATATATACATATATACATACACATTCACTTTTGATCTTTTAAGAGCATAATAAAACGTGTTTAAGGATTTTTTAACATGACAAAGAATTGCTTTTGGCGTTTCAGTTATTTCTTCCAGTCTACATAGCATTTTGTATTTATAGATTCTAAGGGCTACAAATGATATAAGATTGGTATATAAAATTGTTTTTTCGTTGACTTCATTATAGAATCCTACTACTATAAGTTTCCATGATACATTAAATTTTAAAATTTCACTAACAACATTCCATATTCTTTGAACATTTTGGCATTCGTATAATAAGTGTTTGTTTGTTTCAACACATTCTTTACAGTATGGACACAGATTAGATATGTCATTCCATTTGCTTAAGCAAAATTAAGCAGATTATTAAGTATTCTGTAGTTAAAATCTGCAATTTTTTGTCAAAGGCTTTGACAATTTTGGAAAAATATATTTTTGAAAAACATTGATTCTGGATAATAAATTCTTTTCTAAACTTGTTAATATAGCATGGCTTTACAAATTTTTTATTTTTAAAGATATCATAATAGAACTTGCATTTTTTGTCTTTGATACAGTGACATTGATTATCATTTAAAACAAAATGAAAAGTATTTCTGATATTTGTATATTTTGATAAGCTGAAATCAAACTGATTCTTATATTTCTGAAACACATTTTTCAATATCAAGTACTCACAAAATATGTTATTTTTTTTAACAAGCATGTTTAAAAAGTATTCGAGTGGCTTAATACCATTTTCATCCACAATATCTTTAACATATAAGATTCCAGCATCATACCAGTTTTCAAAAAATAATACCTTATTTTTGTAGTTAAAAATTTTGTTTCCTCATATAGATTGTCTCAGAAAGTCAAATGTAGTCATTTTACTTATTTCCATTGGGCTCTTAGTTTCACTAAATGCTTCAAAAATTTCTCTATAAAATATCGGAAGACGCTTAAGTATATTGTGATTATGTATTGCTAAGTTATTAGTGTGTAACATGTAGATAATATCTTGCTTTCTTAAATTGAAATTTTCTAAAAAGATTTTAATGTTGCTTTTTTCATTTGATATTAATTTGGAAATCCATGAACATTTAATTGCTTTCGCTTTAGACTCTATATCCACAACTCCTATACCACCCTGCTGTATATCCCCTATTAAGGTTCTTCGTTTTATTCTGTCTCTCTTATTCCAAATAAAATTGAAGATAATTTTATTGATATTTTTTATGATATTAGCACTAGGATATGGTAAGAGTGAGAGGTTGTATATTAATTTGGATACAGCAAGATTGTTAATAATGCAGGTTTTCCCGAATATAGTTAATTTTCTTTTTTTCCATGATTCGAAAAGTCTCTCAAGCTCTTTAATTTTGTTTCCCCAATTTTTTTCAATACATTTCTCTATGTCATGACCAATATGAATTCCTAACACTTTAATACATTCTTTGTTGACCTTTACTCCATATAAATTATGTGCTGTATTCTTCAGATTGCCTAGTAACATGCATTCCGTTTTGCTAATATTGAGAGTCAATCCAGATATATTTCCAAAGTTCTTTATACATGTTACTGCTTGTTTTAAAGATTTTTTATCACGGAGTGCTAATGTAGCATCATCAGCGTGTTGTATCATTTTTATGTCTGTTGTCATCTTAGGAGTTTTAAATCCAATAATGTTTTCATCAGACATTATTTTTATTGATAAGATTTCTGCAACGAAAAGGAATATCATCGAAGAAATAGGGCATCCTTGTCGTATGCCCCTTTCCATATTGCACGTTTTAGAAATCCATCCATTATTTTTTAGTTTGAAAATTGGTTCTTTGTACAAAATCGATATCCATTGCAGAAAATTATCCCCAAAGTTAAAACGTTTTAAGGTTTCAAAAATAAAATTCCATTCGACTGAATCAAAAGCTTTCTGGAAATCTAAGAAAAGTAAAATTCCATCGTAGTTTTTATTTTCACAATATTCAAATATATCTAAAATTGTTCTTGCATTTGTTCCTATGTATCTTCCCTTTATATATGCAGATTGATGTTCACTAATTAATAGGTCTATTACTTTTTGAAGTCTGTTAGCTAATATAATAGCTGATATCTTATAATCAGTATTTGTGAGACTTATAGGGCGATAGTTGGCTAAATCTGATTTATCTCCCTTTTTATGAATAAGTGTGATTAAAGCTAAACGTTGAGAGAATGTCATACATTTATTATTAAAGGTGTATATTAAATTATTGTAGAAATAAGGTTTTAATTCATCCCAGAAAATTTGATAGAATTCGCCTGGTAGCCCATCCAGGCCTGGCGATTTATTTGATTTTAACATTTTAACTGCTTCGTCACATTCTTTCATTGTTGGAAATTCATCTAATTCTACTTTCTGTTTATCATTAACTACCTGAGCTATGTTAATTGTATCTAAATAAGTTTTGATCTCATTATTATCAATATTTGATGATTTGTATAATCTAATATAAAAATCACACATTTTTCCTAAGATGTCACAACTATTCGTAGTTATATGATCGTCATTTTTAATACGATTGATAGTATTGTTATTTTGGTGAGATGATTCAAGTTTAAGGAAGAAAGACGAATTTGTTTCTCCTTCGTCTATCCACTTCGCACGTGATCGAATTTGGGCACCTTTAGCTTTTTATTTATCAGTTCTTTTAGCTCGGACTCTAATTTTTTTTTTTTATTCATATTAATATCGTTTGAATTTGATTTTTCAATATCAGATATTTCATTTTTTAAATAAATGATTTTACGTTTACATGATTTACTAACAATTTTACTGTATTTTATAGAGTAGTCTTTAATTTTAATTTTAAGTGCCTCCCAAGATGCTTGAATATTTTCAGTTGATTTAAAATCTTTAATAATTTTTTTCATTTCCGTGACAAAAATATTATCTTCTAGAAGTGAGGCATTAAATTTCCAATATCCTGGACCTCGTATATTTAAATCAATGTCAAAAATGACCCTAATACATTTGTGATCTGACATTCTTGTTCCCCCTGAATGTAACCCTGGTATTTCTCGGAGAATTATATTTTTAGCTGGATATATTAAGGATTTTGATATAAGTACGTAGTCGATTCTGCTTGTGGGTATGTTTGCCCCGTTGCACCATGTATATCCTACATCCTGTGGCCTTAAGTCTCGCCACAAGTCTATCAGACTATTATTATTTAAAATTTTTTGAAAATAATTAATACTGGAATCGTCAGTCTTCTCTAGATTACAATTGAAATCTCCTGCTAAAATGATATTGTCAGGATTGTGAGAATATTTAGTTATCCATTTATTAATTTTCAAGGAAAAGGACTTTCGTTCCGCTTGATTGTTTGGTGCATAAATATTTATTATTGTAAGCTTTTTTTCTTCCAAAATTAAATTAATAAAAATCATTCTTCCATCATCATTCAACAACAGAATTAAAATGAGAAAGTATAGACCCTATTTAAATCCATTTCTTCATTTCAATTTTTTAAATCAATTACCTTTTTGTTATTGCAAATTTTCAATAAAAATGTTTATCTTTTGTTTTTATTGATTGTATGTTGCTGGTTATCACCAATACCCGATTTAACTGTAAATGGGAATTGTTTAGAATTTTGCAATAAAAGATAAAAAAAAAATTAATAAGCTTACATGTACGTCTAGCACATATTCACTATAGATCTATGTAACCATGGATCTGAGACTTCTCTAAGTATACATCCTTAAATCTTTTTTTTTTTCTTTTCAGTTAATCAACAAGCGGTGTCGGGAGCCGAGCAAAATTTGATTTCGTTTTTGATGAAGAACGTTTCCGACCACGAGCAAAGGTTAACAAACTTGTCAAGCGAACTGACTTCAAACAAGAATAGTATTATCACTATCCAAAGTGATATTGCCGCTTTAATAAATGTGAATAGAGATCAGAATAGATCAATCTCCAGAAGAAATCTAGAGGTGACCCAACGACCTACAGTACAACGTAAGAAAATAGTTTCCTTATACCCTTACCACACAACTGATAAATATGCAGTCTTACCCTTCTAGATTATATGTTTTAACATATTTTTCCTAGTGCGTGTTCGATTGGTTGGAGGCAACTCTGCCAGCGAAGGACGAGTGGAGGTTTATTACAATGATACTTGGGGGACAATCTGTGACGATAATTGGGCGAGCTCTGACGCTAGAGTTGTTTGTAGAATGCTGGGGTACACAAGGTCAGCTAAGGATGTATATTATTTTTTTCCTTTATTGCAAACTTTAATCTTTGACTGAGAACTAAGTTACCAATTTTGACTGAGTTACACGGAGAAACATTAAAATTAGTTAAACTAAAAAAAAGCTTAACGTTAAATTTTAGATTAACTTAACACCAATATTCGTAGTTTTCTTCGAATCAGAGAAAGAGAGATCGAGAGAGATCACGTAACTGCTATAAATGATTGGAAAAAAATCAATTGAGTTGGGGGTGATAATATACAAACGTCTTCTTCCTTTTCTAGTAGGTTTCACTATTACCATTAAATGTACACTACTTATATTCTGCATTATTTATTTATTTTCTTTTCCGTAGGACTTATGTTGGATACGAACAGGCTCGTTATGGACAAGGAGTAGGTCACATCTGGTTGGACGAAGTCGGATGCTCAGGATCAGAATCCACAATATTTTCTTGTAGACACAGTGGGTGGGGGGTTCACGACTGTTCTCATAGTGAAGACGCATCTGTCGTGTGCACTTAAAACATGATTTACATTGTAAGTCCTGTTATTAATTACAAAGATTAGCGATTTGATATGTTGATCATTCATAAGTGGATGTAATTAAGTTGCCCTTATTTTAATTAGCCATAATAGCAATGATTCCCAGAGCTTTTATAAACAGAGTGAATTTATGTACATTATTTTGACAATATATTTTGATTAATTTATTTTGCCTATGGATCTAAGAATAAAAAAATTGTTATCAAACATGCATGCATATACATCTGGTTAGAATAATATGATAAAAAGTTTCATTTCAAATGCGTTGGAAAATCCCTAAGAACATCAAAGAATGGGAACTATCTCAATAAAAGACGCAAATATCTTTGCTGACGACAAGCTATAAAAAAATCAATTTTCAAAAAAGGAAAGACATTTTACATTTTTTTCACACAGTAGTGGGAATGGAACTTTAAACAAAATACAATCAATCAATCAAATATTTTTCTCCTTCGGTGGATTCTGTTTATTACAAAATTTAAAACATACCTCAAAGGAGATTCCCAATGGGCAAAAGTAACTAGGAGTATATTCAAATGATGTATATACGATAGATACAACTAACTTTATTCTGTTTCGTGCACTTTTTGTTTGATAACACATTTTATTTCGAAATTCCTAGCACTTATAAGAACTGTTCAATAAAGAATATAATCAAAGCTTCCAACTTCAATGAATTTTTCTTATGCCAGACACCTCATTCATGTACCTGATAGTATTTGGAAGAATAACACAACTCATATTGGCGGAACTGTCATGGCTTTTCATTTCAAATTACATTCACAGTTAACATGTCACTCGCATATTCATGCCCTATGCGCCGATCTTACCACTTTTAAGTTTTTAGCAGCACAGTATTCACATTCACAAATATAAAACAAACCATATCAGAGCTAAGGGACCTGGAGACAACAGTATCCCTCAGCAAATGGTTACTTGTCAAAATTGCGCTAACACTTAACCGTCAATATTATCACATTCACACAGCAAGGTCCATAGTATTCTTCATCAGTGTATAAGCCATGACGATTTCTGATATAGAAAAAAAAACACACACACACAGCATAAAAGGAATCAAGAACAATTTATTCAATAAATTTATATACTCAAACCAACCATAACATATAAGGGAGGGAAGGGAGGGGATTTCGTCTGCTCAGAAATGCAGGAAATTGAAAAGGTCGAGCGCATGCGCATTATTGTTCATGTATTAATAATAATAGAATCGTCATGATAGGACCACATATATCCGGAAATTAGCTTGTACTTAGTAGATATTCGTGAATATCAAAGTAGAAAGTGATAAACGTCATTCACAATAACTGTATTTTTCTTTAAAGGATGAATCTGATTATTTCGTAATTCCTAACACTAATAAGAACTGTTTAATAAAGAATATAATCAAAGCTTCCAACTTCAATGAATTTTTCTTATGCCAGACACCTCATACATGTACCTGATAGTATTTGGAAGAATAACACAACTCATATTGGCGGAACTGTCATGGTTTTTTTTCAAATTACATTCACGGTTAACATGCCACTCACATGTTAACCTTCATGCCCTATGCGCCGATCTTACCACTTGCAAGCTTTTGGCAGCATATACAGCATTCACAAACATTAAACAAACCATATCAGAGCTGGGGGACCTGGAGACAACAGTATCACTCAGCAAATGAACTTGTCAAAATTGCGCCAATTGAATTTCAAGCATAATGAAATCCAACCGCCATCAAAGCGGCTGAATTTTGACCACAGGTAAAATTTACCATTCACAAATGATACACAAATTTCATAAAGCCACAACAATTCCAGTTCGAGAAAAAATTGTGCACAGATCACTTTGATGGAAAAGCAAAACTATTTAATTACCAGAACTGAATTGCCTAAGAGCAGCCTGCATTGTTGACCAAAAAACATGATTGCCTAAGGGAGATAAGTGAACTCCATCATTAAGAAAGAGTTTACTTTGAACAAAACTGACGTCTTGATACTTGATTGAAACACCACCTGACTCTAAAACAAAGCTAGCAACAGAACTATTAATCCTACATCTTGATTTCTCTGCAGCAACATTTGTAGATAAATGACGCCAATATACCCTGGGCAAATTATGTGACCAGACAATGCATGTCAAAGGCATAACCAAACTCAGCTTGTTGATAACAGTTTTCATAAATTTTTGTTGTCTTCGTAATGGGTTATTATGTTTGACAATGTCATTACCACCTATATGGATAACCAGAAACCTTGGATGTGGCTTTGTAGAGGACAGCTCAGAACTGACCTCATAGAATTTGGCAAACCTAAACCCTGGTATTCCCTTCCAAAACTCTGTTACCCCTGGTAAAGAAAGGTCTGTGCCAAATTCTGGAGAACTGAATGCAAATTGTTCTGCTCTTTTAATAAGGGATGATCACACAATTAAGATTGAATCTACAAGATTTATAAACAATACATAAAGCAATGATTACTATCTACATAATTACGAAATTTGAAAACTGCATTTAGTTAATCCAACTCCAATTATAATTTTGATATCAGGTTAACCACATTATGACAACGACGTAACCATCGTAATATCATTATTTACATCTAAAATGTAATCAATTCAGGTCTGAGATATTGCTAATATGCATCAGACACCCATCTTCCCTTTCTTTGAATTTCTTGTTCAGATATGCCCGATAAATACATGTGAGTAGCAGCTCCTATTCTAAAAGAGTGTGTTTTGAAAGTTTCTGTTTCAATACCTAAAAATCTCAATGCTTTGAGCAATTCACTTGAAAACTGGTATGCTGATAATGGTGTACCATTGATATGACAAAATAAATGGCCATCCTCCGGAGATCTGAATTGCAAAACAGTTTCTAACAAATTAAAACATGCTGTTGACTCTACTGACTTGCTGATAGTAATAACTAAACCTTTATTAACTGTAAATCTGAAAGGTGAAGTATATTTCTTCGAGTCTTATTTGATGCTACAGCTATATCACTTATTCTAAGAACATCAAAACATGCTGTTGCAAATGTAGACCAAAACAAGTGCTCATTGTAACCATAGGTAAAACATCCAAAATTTTTAGTAAAAACTGATATGATACAGGACTTCTGATGTCCTTTGTGGGCTTAGATCTTCTTAGACCTGTTAACATTTTTTGTACAATGAAAGATTAAAATGGATTGTACAAGCCATGTAATTGCAAATTGTGACTCAGGGCTGATAATTATACTTTAAATGTAGAGTGTGAAAGATTTTTTGACACTAGGAAAGCTACAAAATTGATTACATGATCTACTGGAGGTGGCCAAAGAGGCAATTTAAACTGTAATCTGAAGTCATTAAATACAACAATGGCATTGTCATATGCAATTTTTGTGTTGTTCGAGAAGCTAGCTTCAATTAAATGATTGACAAGCCCTTCAAAAGGTTCCAAAATTGAATAGGTACTTGATAAGGATGGCAATCTGCCCATGGTGCCAACTGCCTGAATCTGTTCCACTGCAATCGAGAAATAGAATCTGCTATATCATTTATGCAACCTCTTACATGGACTCCTTTAAACTGAATATTGAACTTCAAAGAAAGCAATACTAATTCTCTCATCAAAATCATGACCCGTTTATTCTTAGATCTATGTTTTCCGATTCAAGATTTCAACCAAAGCTATATTGTCAACATGCAATATTAATTTCCTATTGTGTAATTTGGCTGACCAAAAGTAAAGCCCTAAAACAATAGGGACAAAGTCTAGAAGAGTGATGTCTTTTCTAATATCAAAATTCCACTTCTGTGGCCAACAGAGAAAAGACCAGGAATGACCGAAAACCACACCACAACCCATTGAATCCGAGCTATCTGAATAAAATTGTACATTTTTGTCAGATTCCCATTCCAGTATTGGAAAATTTGTAGTACCATTAAATTCATCAAGAAATGTTAAAAACATTTGGAGGTCACTATGTATTTCTTTGGAAAGCCGTACAAAGTGATGTGGCTTAGAGATACCTGACATTAACCCATATATGCGGCATGTAAATGCTCTACCTGCTGGTACGGCCTTTGTAATAAAAGCTAATGAGCCAGCTAAAAAGTGAAGCTGCCTTTACGTAATCTTAGATTTCCCTTGAATTTCAAGTTTTTCTTTTTGTCAAGTTTCTACTTTGTCCTTCAGAATGAAAAATGGACTGATTAACTTAGTCTATACCTAAACCTAAGAACACTATGTATGCTGTTGGGCCTTCAGTTTTTTTTTCCTCTGAAAGAGGAACACCTAATCTGTTACAGATATTTTAAATGGAATCCATTCAAAATTTACAATTGTTTGTACCATGAGCTCCAGCAAACGAAAAAATCATCTAAGTAATGAACAGTATTTTTTTCAAGCTGGTGTTGTTCTCTACCACCCATTGTGAAAAAAAACTGGAAAAATTTTCAAACAAGGCGCACGATATGGCACAGCCCATCGGTAAACATTTGTCTACATAATATTTATTAAGAAACTTAAAACCAAGAAGACTAAAATCCTCGGGTCCAATTGGTAACAACCTGAATGTATTTGAAATATCCATTTTCCCTAATTGTGCATTTGTACCCATTTTTGTACCATGCTAACAGCTTGATCAAAAGAGGAATAATTAACTATTTAGAAGCAAATTTCAGGATTAATAAATTCGTTAATACTTTTTCCTTGTGGAGCAGATAAATTGGTGATTAACCTCCAACCACCTTGTTTCTTTGGTAAAACTCCTGTTGGGCTGCAATAGAAGTTTTGAAATGGCGGGCATCAAATGAACCCATTATGCGACCTAGGTCAATTTCTTTGTTCAGTTTAGCTAATAATTCATCTTCATGCTCTAATACTGAAAACATATTTTTAGAAGATACTGGATCCCGCGGACCCTGATAGTTCACTGAGATACCAAATGTGAACCCATGTAAAAGTTGATTTGCCAGAGTTTTATCTGGATAATCT